TCGACAGAATGCCAATCTCAGCATTTGCAGGCTAATATGCCCGTCTGTATTGTTGAAGGCAGAAAGAACGACGCCACTGCAATACTAACTGCTCACGCCACAGATTTGAGTGCAGTTGGCTATTGCAACGCTATCGCGCGGGTGTCGCCCATTGCTCAAGTGCTAATGCTTTCTCTCAACATGTCCATTCCTCATGTGAAGGCCAGATCAGAAGCCTTGACGTAAGCTTCCATTCGCCACAATCCCTCAAAGACAGTAGTTTGACAAGCCGCAGAACACCCTTCTACGCTTGGCATTGACTGGCAAAGACACGCTGGGCAATATGCAGCTGCTTTTCGGCCCCAACTAGTCAAGGGACTTGGAGCCAGTTCTTGAATCATACCGCCTTACCGCTCTTCTTGGACGTGAAGCCCCCTCTTCCTACTGCCGGTCGCACGATGCCTGCTACAGGGTACACTTTATATCTCGCCGAGACCCGCAACTGAGGCCGAGGAGAGCAAGCTTACGGAGCTACGAAATAAGCAGGGGGAAATACACCACGAGATGGAGAACCGCCCTGAGCCCTTGTCCGATGCCATCTTGGCTGCGCTGTCTACGGCACGATACCCCGTGGCTTAATAGGAACTGTATCAAATCGCCAACATGAACATGTTTATGGAGCATGACGTCTCTCTATCCCATTCTTTTTCGGGAATACAGAATGACGAGGAGCTCCATGACTCAAGATGTCTCGAAAGTGTATGATGACAGAGTCGTCAAAGTCAACATGCGTTGCTTGACAGAGTTGAAGTGGGACGAATCTATGATTAAGTAGCTATACCTTAGAGATGGCGACAATGATTGCAGTCAGACATGACCCAAGCCTTGAAAAATTGTGATTGAACAACGAGTGCCTTGTCGTACTTTTTTTCCACATTATCTACATCAACACCTTCGCAAAAGCATCCCCTAGTCCACGTTCCACCAGCCACCCTTCCACAGCCTTCATGTCTCCCCGGTTCGCCCTCTGTCCCCTCCTCTCTCCTACAGAGTCTGTAATCTCTGACATGTCCGCGAAAACTCTCCTCGAGACGTCCTTTTCGCGATGCCTCTCGCTGACCTTCTTGTGATGCGCCGGGATATCGCCCCAGCTCTCCGTCTTGATGAACTTCATGTAGTCGTCGATGCTCTGCGACCCGCCCTCCAGACACAGCAGTCCCGGTTTTCCGGCGTAGAGGAAGCCTGTGAGGTGGTACGCGGGGGCGTTGATGATGAAGTCGTCGCGCTTGGAGCGGGTTGAGATGGAGGGGAAGTAGAACCACACTCGCACCAGGGGACCTGCGTCGGCTGTGGCAGCAGCACCCGAGATTGCCGATTCGGCTTCTGCTGCTAATTTTGCTTCCTCGAGGTGGGTGACTGCTGTTTCGTTTATTACGTCTATGATGCTGAAGAGGTCCTCGTCGCCGTCTGGGATTTGGGCGTTGAGGTGTGCTGTTGCTGCGCGGTTGAGCCATGGTGGTTGAAGAATCCTGACCTTAATATGGGGTGGTTCTTCTGGTGGTGTGCCGGATTTGCCTTCATACGAGAAGGGTACATTGATATCTAGTTGAAGGGTTTTTGGTGATGAGGGTTCTTGGTCCGGTTCCGGGACCGTGAGGGTGAGAAGTATAGTCACTGTTGGCGCGCGACTCAACGATGAAATTGTGAGTTCACTGCCTTGTTCGATATGCGTCTTCAAGAGTTGTAGCGATTGTTCGGAGTCTTTGTCAATTGAGGCCTCATCTTCGGTGGGGTACATTGCTGTGAGGAGGTCGATTTGGCCGATTTGGTGTTCGATCAGATCGGGTGGTAAGAGGTGCCATGATGATGCGACCGCCATTGTGAGTGAACTTTTTTTCCACCTGCAGTTTATTCTTTGGAGTCTTGAATGTCAGTGTCAGTTTCCCCGTCTCTGTGACTCCCTCGTGGTGCCGGTTAAACTGCCATGACTTGGTGAGTGAAGGTCCATTCTGAGAGATTTTCGAACCTCAATTTAGCCACACTTTTCAGCCACATGCGCCACACTTTGGATGTTCTCATGATGCTCAACAATTTAATGAGGTGTTTGATCGATTGATTGCTGATTTGGCTTCGGGAGTATAGTAGAATAGATGTGTACCAATAAATTGTTGAATTCTACCTGTGGCAAGTGCAAGATCCGGCTGTCTTCTATGCTCACCCATGGTTTCACACCAAATGATGACGGGATAAGGTGAATAGCAGAATCTTCACAAGGAATGAAGCCGAGGTGTAATCTTTGAAGCGTAAAATGGGGTTGGAGCCCCCCGAATGATGATCTTCTAGAAGTCTACACACGTCCGTTGTCTGCTCTATCTGTTACCCTTCGCACCAGCAGGTGCATCAACCCTGCGTTTCTGAAACTGCTTGCCAATCGCATCTCTGACCATCGGGTCCGCCCTAATGGTGTTCTGCACCAACCAGTCCTTGACCTTGGCACGTACGCTGCTGAGCGCCTCCTTATCGCCAATGAACGGGGTCATCTCCATCTCCAACAACCTGCTCGTCTCGCCGTCCAGTCCGCGGGCAATCATCTCGAGCCGCTGCAGGCCCTCGTCCACGGCAGCCGCCGAGCTCTCGGCCGCTTTCTGCGCTGCCTGCCCCTGGGAGTTTAACAGAGGACCGAGCTGACCAAAGGCGATGTAGATCGTTACGGCAGCCTGACGTGCAAGCGAAACCAACTGGAACTGGAGATAGGGTGGGCGGCGCAGAGCTGCACCCAGCACCGTGTTGAAGATGGCTAGGAAAGTAGGCATCTCGGGCCGCGTGACAACAATGAGCTCCGCCACAAAGAAGGTGAGGAGGATGATCCACCGCCAGTATCGTCCCCAGTCGAGGTATCCCAACAAACTCAAGCCGTAGGTCGCAGCGGCAGCGATGCCGTAGTACGGAACCGTACCCTGCATGATGCCGCGCGCGACAAAGTCGTGAATGGTCTTGCAGCCCTGCCAGGCACCGACCTCCGGACCGAAGCGTTCGTAGGCGAAGCGACGGGCAGGGTCAGACAGGGTCTCGGAGGCGGTTTTGAGGTGCATGAAGCGCGCTGCGGCGGCGCCCGTGTCGGCACCATTGGTGCCTGCCTTGTCTGGGTGATAGACAGCTGCGAGCCTGCGGAATCGAGACTTGATGATACGGACGGGGGCGCTGGCAGCGACGTCGAGGTCGGTGTAGAAGGTTCCTTGCAGCCGCAAGGAGCGGTCGGCCTCGATGAGGGTGTAGAGGAGGTAAAAGGAGACGACGAGGATATGGATTCGGCGGCGGTGGGTTGCGTATTTCGCGGTGCCGGGCTGGGGCTTGGGATCGCCGGCGCGAATGGCTAGGCCGTAGTAGATTGCTTGTACCCAGCCGGTGACTAGCTATGATGGAGATCAGTCGCTGCGAGGTTCAACGTTACGGAGGGGCGGTTCTCAGGCAGGCATCACGTACATTGGGCAAGAAGGCCCAGCCTAAAAGGGAAAGAACGTTTGACATGATGACAATCTGCGCATCCCTATCATGCGATCCAAATGTCTTGCGCGGGGCCGAGCGAGTGTGGGTGCTCGCGAGGTTGTCGAGAGAAACTTGATCAACGGGCAGTCGGTGGTTGTGATGTCAACTCGCGACCGAGCTTACTGACTTGCTGGCGTTTTCGACCACTGCCAACTGCCAAGAGCTGACCTCATTATTTGTGGGACTTTGAGCTGGGGTATGATCCCTGCCGATATGGGGGCGGAAGGTGGACCAACATTTCGCTTATGTCATCCGAACTCATCATCTCATCTTCAACTGTGTGTATTCACTTTCGCAACTTGGAAGTCGTCACGTGGCCGTTTGGCATGCTTTTGAACCCGTTGTCTTCCAATTTGACTTATATGACATAGTCCATTTCTAGCAGCTGAATTGTTCTTTGACTTAATCCTATCAGCGCTGGTCAGAGAGACCAGGGCTCATAAACTTTCACCGTCAGGCTTTCTCCTCTATGAGACTAAGATGGCGAACGTGATTTCCTGCCTATTCTCGTTTCTCAGACGTAATACCAACCGCCACGATCTGAGACATAGACACTATTGCTTCTACCGATTATGACTCAGTATTTTCTAAACTCGAGCAATGCTTGACCGCCAATTAGAATGTTGGACTACGGAGTTTGGAGCTAAGGCACTCCGCAAAATCTACGGAGGCAGTCCCCACGATAGAAGTGAACAGCGGGATATCAAAAAAGACGAAGGCTTTTATCGGTCATAAGTCTTTGTCACCTCTTGGCGTTTCCCATTTATCCTAATCTGCGGTGGAAATATCGGCCGAATCTAGTTGACCGCCTCTAAGAACTTAGAAGTGAATACGCCGAACCTTCTGCCCACCCTTCGAACCTTTCTATGCTCTGGGTAAAATTAGCGGGGGTTTATCCGATGAAATCGCTATCTTTTACCCAGTATCTCAAGAAAAGGAAATAAAGCCAGTCTGTGAGTGATTGGCTTCGGAGCCTGACGGGGCGATAAAGCTTGGAAGAAAGCTTGGCATTGGTCTGTAAATCCTACTTCGTGACCAGCAGCATAGATTCCCTCGGCGAAACGTCTCTGGCATAAATACAGCGTCTCCTGGAAGCAAAAGGAGTTTCCAGGGTAAGGCTAGAGGCTAAAGCCTATCACGAGTCTGGCCTTTGAGATAAAACAATTCCTAATAAGCTGATGTCAACGAGTGCCAAGAGAAAAATGGCGTTGATGGCGTACGTTCGAGCTAAAGCTTTCACAGGTTTCTTCTTATCGATATCTCACTAAACAATCTAAATCTCGACTTTGAAAGTCGATTCTACCTGGCATCATCAGGCCGAGATGACTTATTAAGACAAACATAGATCTGGCAACGAGGTCAGATGTGATTGGCAAAGAACAAGGCGGCGGGGCGGGCCTTGATAGGGTAAGGGCTTGAGACATTTGGCTGGGTTATTTGATGAAAGCTTGTCATTGAAAGAGTTAGGGAGAGAAACTGGGAGGCCTCTGGGTAATCTGCTGTATCTGCGTATCTGTGCGAAAATTTCCGACAGCAATGTTTGAGCGTTGGCCCGGGGAAATTGACCCAGCTCAACTGACCTTCACTTGGATAGCAAGAACATCAGAATGCTCCTGTGACTTAATCGTCATCCCTGGCATCCGGGAGCGCGGAAATTCGGTGAGGTGTAAACATTTAGCATTAAAAGAAGCCTATCAAAGACTTTTGCAAAAACGCCTGCTTATCTCAGGCCGTGAAATTGAGTCTAAGACTCGTCTCTCAGTCGTGTCCCTTTCCGAGTCAATTCTTCAATAGAACCTGGCTGGCGAAATTCATTCCAATATTTCGGTCGACGCTGATGGTATCATATTCTCTCCTTCATGCTTGCACGGTCCCCTTTCACTTGGTATCATGATGAATTCCAAACTTAATCGCACTTTGATCCAATAGTACCACTGGCATCGGCACATACACCGGAGTTCTGAGCCTGAACGCAAGAGTCCTTGAACTCGTTGCCGCCGAAGCCAGAAACATACCGTGTCCGGCCACCATCCTTGGGAGCAATAGTTGCGCAGACCTGAGTACGGACGTCAGCATCATGTGGTGAGGCAGAGAGGGGAGAATTGAGCTAGACTTACGTGCCACAGCATTGTGGTATTGACATTTTGCGGGTTATCATTCTCAAAGATCTTTTGCGACGTTCTGTAAACATCGCAGGCCTTTTCCGTAAGACATTTGTGAGATCGGTCGTTTATAACACAGTAGCATTTGGCGTGTTCATTTGCAAGCGCCCTGATCTTGTTAGTCATGATCCAACTGCTTGAGTCTGGGTTGAAGTATTGATGACTTACACTGGGAAAGCAAAGAGCGCCAATGAGAGGCAAAAGAGTAGAAGCTTCGTAAACATGTTATTGGATTTGAGATTAACCACGAGAGGAGTGACTCGAGGGAAGAGAGAATGAGAGATGGGTGTACGATGGGTTGAATGTTCGAACTATTGCAGGATTGATGTGAGGTTATCAAGTGATGTAGGGCTGGGCCGAACTACGGTCTAGACTAAACTTATGTACCTGCATCTGTTTTTGGAGTGGGCGCAGGCGCAATTTAGAAAATGCGGGAGAGTTCAATTACCATTTGAGTAGCTCGACACCTAGGCCAGATAAGGATGGTCCCTGACGTGTGGACCAATTCAAGTTAATAAACTAAGGAAATGTCAGGATAATGGCAGCAGCTTGGCCATTGCTCTGAGGAGTTCCCCACTACGATAGGGAATGATCCGACTTGAATCATGTTCCCCGTGGCATCCGATCATCCCGCCGTTCCATGACGCCGGACGGCTACTGCACGCCGCCTTATCATGCTACCTCAATTAACAATATGCGGGTCATGACGGACGAGACCGCCCCTAGTCGTTGGCATTCTAGCTCGGTTTCTGGAAAAATTCTCGTATCGTGGGGTGATGTGAGAGCTGAAAATGATAAAGATATGACGGCGTTTGCGCGAGTCAAACTGAGCGGACACTTGGGCAGAAGCTTAGTTGCGGCTCAGACAACGGCGGAGTGTTTGATATAGAAAGGCAAAATAAATTGCTTAGCCACTTAGTACGAGCAGCATTGATCAACAGATCACGGGACTTGAGCGAGACCGCTTATCACTTGAACCACATTCCGCAAATAATATTCGCGAAAACAAGCAGGTTCCCAGATCCATTCCCTGGCGACGCGTGACTAGTTAGTCAACTTCATCAATTGTCACGCGACTAGATTGAATGACACATATTAACCTTACTCGTATTTGTCCGTATCAAGCTTGAAGCAAGTCAATAAAAAGGGGATGCGGAGTTGATGCCCGTGCGTGTGGAGGAAATATAGTCGCGTGACGATGTGGGCAGCATGGACAAACTCGCGGGTCGATCAAAGGGAAAAGGCAGACAGACGAATGAGTTGCAGTAGCCACTACGGAGTACTTGATTACTGAAGTTTCAGAGAGCTCATTCGAATATCGTGAACATGACCACTCATTCTAGTCCATTTTGATTTGTTTGGTGAATGAGAAACATGAAGTAGTAATACATGACATATCATTAGGAATTTGGCGTATTTTGCGAGTATCCTTGTACATGAAATAACAACTCCATCACTCTTAAGATTCTGCAGCAAGCAGTTCCGCAACAAATTCCAGCTCAGCGACTCTGGCTGGCTTTCCAACAATGTCCGCACTCCTGGGAAATCTGAACGCAGTTAGAACAGTATCAGTCTACAGAGAAACCGAGCTTCTTACCTATATTACTCTATGCCGAATTATCTTGGGTGCATGCGTCGAGTCTTTGCGTCGTGAAGTCGTGGCCTTCAAAAAGATTTGCTCCCCAGCCCTCCCAACCGGTAAGGACCTGATCGCTAGGCAAGGGGTCGCAGCTGTTTGGGTTGATGCCGATACGGAACTTGAATGGTGCGGAGTTGCCACCAAATGTGACGTTTGTCAACGCTTGAAGGTTGCCTTTTGAGTCTTTGGAGTTTTCGATGGTGCATTTCGTGCCAGCAGGGAATGTTCCGCTCAAGCCGCATCTAACGACTCCCGCAGGTTCGTCCCATTTGAGCCACAACCAGTTGGTATCAGCCCAGTTGTCGCCCCAGCAGCAACTGTCAGCTGCTGCGACGGCAACGTATGCTGAAGTAGCAAAAAGTTGAAGGATAGAAGTCAATCGCATGATGGGAAATAGAAGAGCTAGTGTCAAAGGAAACTTTCGAAAAATCTGGCGATAGATTCGGTAGCAGAGAGTAGTTCCTTCAACGAGTGCTGGGTGCTGTGATACTCTTATCAGACTAATGACGCTTGGACGGGGGAGGAACGTCGGACGAACGATGGAGGATGTGGGAAGGGGAGGCCTGGGAGGCTGATAGCAGGAGATTGACTCAAAGTGTCTCTGGGCAGCAATTAACTAGTAAGCCTCGAAATAAGTTGTCGAGTAGTTCGCAACTTTGACCGATTCCGAGGAAACACGAAGAACGTAGAGGCGTAAATTCGCGTTGGCAGTTTAACTACTTCAACTCATTTGGCTCCCAATCTACCTGGATACGCCGCGTTATCTTTAATCAAAGAAAGTTGAACGCCGATCTTATGTGTACCTGATTCATGCCAGGATAATACTTGCAAAGCCATCCTTCATCAAACCTTGTTCCTGAGGGCTGGGTCGTGGCTTTAGCGCAGTTTGCGGGGAACCCGAAATCATGCGAGCACGTCCCCAAAGAGGCATCGAGCAGCGGCGGCAACTCGCCGAAATGGATGACAGTGCCTTTTTATTTACTATGCCCTGGATTCTTGCTGTTTTCCTAAAGCTAGTGCCCAACCTATTGTCTGTCTTTCTCTTGTTCGTTCGCGTTGCAGCTCGCAACATACTATCATAATGGTTCTCTTGAACCTTGTCACTCTCTTTTCTCTTGCCGTGAGCGCGTCTCCGGTCGCCTCGGTCCCCCGGATTGAGGCTCAAGTGCTCAATGAACGCGCGAACCCCACTGTTGACAGCTGTTCCTTCCATTCCGAAGATGGGTACGACACCTCATTAACAAGTTGTCTATAGAGGTGCCATGATTGCTAATCTCTGTTTCACTAAAACAGTATTCAGCCTGGGTGTTGGGAGACTCTCAAAATGAACGACCATCTCAACGTAAGCTCAGATAGATGCCCGCATCTCTGACATCCAATGCTGACAATATTACTAGGACTGGTGGTCAAAGAACTCTGCCAGGTGCAAGACGGCGGAAAAGGGATTCGCAGAATGTTACCTCGATTCAGCCGTATGTTGCGCAAGACCAAGATATCTGAACGAAGTTGCGCCTGACTAACACGAACTCAGGGATACATAACGTGGAGTTGTGATTTCATTGCCCTAAATGGATGTACTCCGCCTCCGAGTGGTCGCGGTGCCGACTATGCTTCCTACCAGGAATTCTACGTAGGTTATGCACACAACCAGAAAAAATCCATCTTTACTGACGATGTTTTGATAGGTCTTCTGGAATATCTACTGTGAGCATCTTTGCCGTTGGCGGCCTGTGCAACCTCACTGACGTCACTGCGACATTAGCTATCAACCTTTTCTTCACTAATTACCACCAAGCTCTGTTGAATGGTCAAGCTACTGCAATGTAAGTTCACTATAATGATTGTACGTCGCTATCATGCCGTTTTCTAATTCTCCATCAATAGTGGCGCGGTCGCTGAAATTGTGAAGACGGTTTCGCCACCTAAGACCAAGAACCCCAAGACTCCTCTGTTCTCGCCTATCTATGCCGTGGCACTTGGCCAATTTGCTGTGAGTATCAGCCAGCTGAAGTACAGGAGAAGAGATAGTTCTGACAACGCTCTGCGTCAAAGGCCCTGGGTCCTTTGCTCGGTAGCTCTGTCGCCGCTAGCATGGTTTTTGCTTCTCTCACCGGCGCCCTCGGTGGTGGAGCTGGTTTGTTCAATCTTTTGTTCCCAACCAAGGCCGTACAGGAGGTCCCGTGGGAAGGCCTCTCTGCCGCTCTTTCAGAGAACGTCAATGAATACCAGAAGAATGTTGGCGAGGCATTGACCAAGATTCAAACCGACTTCGACACGTTCTACTCTCTAGTTTCCAATGGTGGCTTCAGCCAGGTAAGAAGAATTTCCTGTCAAATGGTTTGCCCGGAAAGTTGATACTGATTATTGCGCGACAGAAAATGAACACCAACTTGCCTGAGAACACCGATTTCATGTACCACAATCTTCTCAAGTGGACTCTCAACCAGGCGCTGCAGCAAGCAGACTACTTTGCCGTCAAGAAGTAAGTTTATACTTCTCGAAATGAATACATGCTCTAACCAATCTGTAGCCCCGGAGTTGATCCTCGCAAGATTCCTATCGATCCGTATGACTGCACCAACCTCGATACTTACAATACTTGCGGCCCGATCTGGTACGATGGCAAGGATTCCTATGGCCTCGCGAGGGCAAATGGTAAGTACATGTTTCCAAAGAATGTGGCTGACGCACCTCGAACCGCAACTAACATTACTTAAAGATATTGGCATGGATCAGATGAAGACAATCCTGGATGCAGCATTCTCTAAGAACTGGACCACGCCGCATGAGCTCTATATTGACTCTCAGCAATGCCAAGGCAAGAACGGCTCCGAATCCTTTGACGTAAAGGACCTGTCGTTAAGTTGCGCCGTAGGTGCCCTTTTTTCTACTAAAATATTGCCGCTTGCCCTGACCTTTCTCGCTAATTCCAACATGCAAATAGTCGAACATCCCCGTCTGCGAGTTCAACTTTGACTACAACCCGTACCAGTCGCTCATTGACCGCACCAACCCCCCCGAGTTCAAGAACTGTCCCAATCAGAGAGGCTATGGCACACCCATGTTTCACAGCGATGATGCTGGAGTTCCTCTCTCGTATCTTGGCCCATTTTTGGTACGTGGTTCATGCATAGATATCATTAACCCAACCAACACATGAGTCATGATACTAATGAACGAGTCAACAGATGTCCGGTGTCATCTATAATGAGAAGAGTGGTTGAGATTAATCGGTTTAGTCAGGATTTCACGAGAACTCATAGCTTGTAGAGGGGTTCCTCGAGAGTCGTGGAACGTGCAGTGAAAATACTGCGAAATGACACAAATGCTGGAAACGGCCGAGAAGAATCAATATGTCTGTTTATTAAATTGTTCACTTGCATTCTTCAGTACTGTGATACAAGTGATAAGAGTCTCGCGCCATCTGCAAAACGTTTAGGTAAAATCAAGAAGCATGCTATTGGTCATTGAATGATCGCTATAACTACACGCAGAAGGTCGATATGATGATCGCTCGCCAGATGCTACTTTCCGGACAGTATCAGCCCGACCGCCGAAAGAAATTTCATGCCGATGGCCGTCACATGTTTCATGAGGAGCAGAACAGATAGCAGTCCGACCACTTGACGCTGTTTTTTTGGCCGAATATACTGGCTTTAGTTACCGGGCACTGTGAAGGCTTAGTCAAGAACAATCATAGCTATTCTCAACCCCGGGATATATAGGAGACGTTGGTGTGAGATTCCGAATCTGGGTAGTCAATTTAGACTTGAGCAGTGCAGAAGATGATCTATCTGAGAGTAAGGAGATGATAGTTATAATTAAGTCGGATTTGTCGTTTCCCTAATTAAAGTCCTTGAGCTGAGGATCAAAACTATCGGTACGTACAACACTACATGGGCATTACTGAGTCCCCCCATCACGATCCATATCATCAATCAGCTGTCGAAGGGGAACATATCGACACTCAGGAGAATAATCTTTGTTTATTGAACGTATAAAGGTCGTGGGATACAGTATATAGCTAGTCGGATTGATCCAAAGACTGAGCTAAAGCAACAATGTTTTCCGTGCGGAATGCCACCTGGCCGTTGGCATAAGTGCCAACATCATCCGCACCATCGTCTTTAACAACGTCTCCATCATCCGCAGAGCCAGAGAATGACTTTTCCTGGGTCTTTGATTTGCTGTCCTTACTACTACGCCCAATCAGCTCCAAGATGCAACCGGTTTCATCTTCCTTCAAGAAGAACTGACGAAGACCTGTGGCAACGTCGTAGCTAAGATCTTCCGCTGTAGTAGTCCAGCCTCTGGCCCTCACTTCAGCGAAAACGGCGTCAACGTCTTCAACCTCCAGTGCAACATGATGAACATAAGCTCCATCATGACGCATCATCAGCTTGTAAAAGACCGAATCAGGGTTCAACCCTTCAGTAAGAATAACAACTCGTTTGGCATCAAAGGGGATGCCCATAACTTGCATCAGCCCATCATCGCCACCATCGGAAGCGGATCCCGTGTTGACCGTAAAAGTCCGAAGGGGAGTGAAACCTAACATGCGCTCGTGGAAAACTTTCATACGTTTGGTGTCGGGCATGATGGCAGCGTAGTGGTCAAGTTGGCGGGTTGAGCCGGCTATGGAGTCTAGAACATTAGAGGAAGTTGAAAAGTCGTCATTCGATGGCTCCTCGGCCGGGGCTTGGCAAAAGCTCATGGGGTATCCGGTTTCCTCGCGCAGGACAACAAGCTCAGTTGAACCGTCTTGAAGTAGTCGGTCTTTGAAGGTAATCCTTTGAGCCTCGAGGACTTGGCGAGTCTTCACAATGTTGTAGACAGAGAAGCGTAAAGAAAGCCCGATGTCTCCAGGCCCAGCGCTCTCGGGAGCTTTGAAAATGCTGAGGGTCGGATCACCGAGACCTGGAAGTCGATAAAGGCTCTCATCTTTGTTGAACTTGGCGTTGTAGACCTCCTTAACTGTTTGGGCAGCTCTTTCAACCCCGTGCGTTGTCAGGGTCAAATGAGCCATTCTCTTAACACCGAGGAGATTGACTGCTCCTGTTCTGCGCCGAGTAGTTGCAAGGTCCTCACAGGCTTCCCAAAGAGCTACATTGCTTGCTCGATATCCGACGCTGCCAAAAGCGGCGTTGACAAAGGCCTTAGTGTCGTTCGCAGATGCCTCGAGGTTGGATGCACCATAGCCCTGCAGCGCGAAGCCGCTACAAGCTCGCATGAAGAGGTTGGCCGTTCCCGAGTTACTAATCCACTCTGGTAGCATCCGGATTGATGCAGAATCAAGTTTAGACAGAGTTTCACCTCTGCTCTCAACAGGATTGAAAATGTTGTTGGCGCCAGCGAGGATAAAACGGGCGCCACGGGGTACCTCAGCGAAGGTTTCGTCGCTTAAGATGGAAAGTGCTCGCTGTGTAAGGATATAGCGCTGAGCGCAGGGAACAAAGACTTCGCCCCGAGATGCGGCGAGGAAGTTGACAAGGTGTTCTTCGTCAGTTGAGCCAGCTCTGCGCTTGGTATACAAAGCTGCGCCTAGCTCGGCCTCGGTGAGACCAGCCTCCAGGCTCCGAGGATCAAGTCCTGAGATAGGAGTCTTCTCGGTGTTGCGCCGAAAGGCTTCGATTGAGGCACAGTCAATGCCATTGTCGTTGACTAGAAAGCCATACTGACTGGAGACGGCAACTACCCGGCCGATACCTAGCTGGGCAGCTGCTTGGGCAAAGGTAGAACCGACGCAACCGAAACCCTGGAGAACTAGGCGAGCCTGTCCCATAAGCTCCGGCTTTGTGTGGATAATGAGCTCTTTGAGGGTAGCAGCCATCACATAGCCAACACAGAACTCGCTGAGACCCCATCCGCTGTTATCAAGCTTTTCTCCGAGGAGGTCATGGATCTCCTTGGGATTCGAGCCGGAGTAGCCAAGAGAACGACTGAGTGCATCAAGCGCGGTCAAAGTGCCCGGAGAGCAGTAGGCTCTAGCGTGTCTGTCGATAATGTCGTGGTCTGTGTTGAGGTCTCCTCCCGTGCCCCAATACTCCGAGAGGACAGCTGCGTTGTCGCGAATGAAACGCTCCAAGACAAAAGGAGCACGTGAGTCCTCATGAGGAAACCTAATGCCGCCCTTGGCACCAACGACCTGAGGTTGGGAAGACACAGCGAGTTTGGCGCTCATAGAGCGAGCAATATCGCGAACCTCATTGAGAGTTGCATCCTCATGAAGGAAGAGCCCGCCGCCCGAGTGAGTAGGCACAGGTGAGTCGATAACGATCCAGCCTTCAGCCGGGGATAGCTTATCTTTCCAATGCCAAACACTGCAGCCTTGAATGACTTGATGAGGTGGCATCGAAGGGAAAGTTCCATCAACCGAAGCGCCGAGTTGAGTAGAGGCTGGGAGAGGAGACATTTTGAGGCAGAAGTAGTGTTGAATGATGTTTTGAGATTGGGTCAAGTTTGGAATCTGTCTTTTTGTTCCGATGATGTTGAGAAGATGGACAGTTGATGCAGTCATAGGCCCGACCATTTATAGCCAAAAATTCTCTTCAACTTGACTTACATGATACTCCGGTTTGCCACAAGAGGTAGCCCGTTCCTGACAACACTTTGATTTCAAAGTTGCAGGACGACCATCCGGGCAACTCTTCCCTGAAAGTGAAAACATCTAGAGAGAACTCAAAGGGACAAGGATGGCCTTGGCGGAGTAAGCAGGCTGTGATACCATCCACTGGGCAGACATTTCAGTCGGAGGTATTAACGCAATGAGCCCTGTGGGGTCTAGAGTTATCACATGTCGGTTTTGGCGTGCTGGAGACTTCAATATAGCTTCAACAATATTGGAAGAACTTCTGACTGTGACATATCGGAGACGAAAGTTCGTTCTTGGATGCTCGGAGACCTCGTATTCGGGTTTTTCGTCAGAGTTCAACTCATAACCAGTCGGAAGCATATGGAAGCCTGAGTTCGTCATTCCAAAATGTGGAAGTGATAGGCCGGGCCGCCGAAAATCTTGGGCAGCATGGAACAGTCCGGGGCTTCCAATTTTCTCGCCCATGTGATCGGACCTCTTCCGACTGCAATAGGTTGGGCACCCAGAGCACTATCGTACCCTGCAGCTTTTGGATGCTTTCAGGAATTATTCTTGTTGTGATTCTTCGGGAAGAATCATGAGGTTGATGCAACACCATCCCCTCAGCTTCAGCATGGGTATAAAGTGGCGTGTTGACTCACCCACCTTCTTTTACCAGAGATTAAGATTCACACGGCACATTGGAACCTACCACCCAATCTTCCACAACACATCAATTGTCCCAGTTTGCATCTTCTAACTTGAACTTTACTTCTTTCTTGACTTTCGTCCCAAGGCATACTGTCTCAATCACCATCACCATCCAAAATGGGATCCATCTCCAACATGAAGTCCTCCTCTGAGCACGACATTGCAAAGATCTTCAACTCCTACGTTGCCGCAGGCGCCATCGGCACTGCTTGGGAACTCGGGCTACTGGATGAGATCCGTACCCAAAGAGCTGTGGATATCGATGAGTTCGCGGCCAACCACAATCTGGATCTCGCTTCGACCCACGCCCTAGTCTCCGCGCTCGCTACCTCTAACATCCTCCAGCGTCAGGGGGGAGCTGCCATGCCCGGAAGATTGCTCGAAGAGGCATACCGCACCAAAAGTCTCTTTCACTGGCTTGCTCTTGGTTCCGGCAGTTTGTTCGCGCGCATGCAGTACGTCATACGCAACGAGAATCGCGAGGGTATATTCTACTCGCGTGATCCTGCGGCCATTGCCTACGCGTGCCGCGACGCAAACACGCAATTCATCGATCCGGTCTTCCTCGACGCCCTGAAGTCGTCTGGCGAAAGATTTACCTCTATTGTGGACCTGGGAAGTGGGAGTGGCGAGAGGATCATGCAAGTCCTCGATCGCTATCCTCAAAGCACCGGACTTGGCATTGATATTGCTGGTCCGGCAATTGAGGTTGCCAGGTCAGACGCTGTGAAGCGTGGGTATGGCGGCCGTATTAACTTTCTGGTCGGCGATGCGCGTAAGCTTGACTTTCGGGACGAGTTTGCCGATGTCGACCTTTTGACGTCGTTTCTGATGGGACACGACTTCTGGCCGCGAGAGAAGTGTATCAGCTCTCTACAGAGACTGCGCAAAGCTTTCCCCAGCGTCAAACGATTCTTCATCTGCGATACGGTGCGGATTCTCACAAATGATCCTCAATCTCGCCATGCGGTACAAGAGGACGATGTGCCTATCTTTACTCTGGGCTTTGAGTTTGGTCACGCGCTGATGAATGTCAAATTACCTACTGTGGAGGATTGGGAGGGGGTTTTTGAGGATGGTGGCTGGGTTTGTGTCAAGCAGCATCACATGCTGCCTCCGTCTCTCACAGTTCTTTTCGAACTTGTGCCCCGTGACGCAAATTCAATGTAGAGCTTCAAGCAGTTCTGTGGTATAGATAGAGAATATGCCCCAAGGCTTGATGCATATTGCATAGCTACTTTAGGCATAGGAAAGAGGATGCGGTTTAAGGTGCTACTGAAATTATGGAGACCACTTAAGTACTAAGTCCTAAGTACTCAATAAAGTCATCGAGATCAAAGTTATGCAAGCATAATGATTGTAAGTAGACAAGGTCACGGACACTACTTAATCCAGTAATCCATTGGCTGGAGGCATGATCAATAGAACTGGACATGGCTATGTAACCCGTACGAGAAAACGAGGCTGGGTACTGCATCTTGGCTGGGTGTCACCGGCACTTGCTGCACCCTGATCCGAAACTATGTATGAATAGACATGCCTTTACCTTGAGGAGTGAAGTTCCAACGGAGCGGGCTACTGGATTATCGCACGTGGGCAGCCGTTCGATTACGTCTGACTCAGATAGGTTTCCTATAACTCCCCCCGAAAGCCCAAAGACGAGTCAGAATTTCGTTTGATGTACCAATTGGGCAGGCCACGTGTGTTCAACGGTAGGCCCTTGTCATTCCGCCCGGACTGGCAGAAACTGGGAGTTAGGCCCAGATCCATGAGAGACTAGGGCCAGCTCGAAGATGATTAAGCCGGGTTTCGAGTAATACTGCCCACACTGTCAATATTCGACGCTCGGAGTTTCCCATCTTAGTCAATGGATCACCTTTCATAGATGATAGCTCAGAAATAGGCAAGTCGAGACGAGTGGGATGGACCCCGAAGTCCCGGCGATCCAACCTCATGCACTTGTAACAGCGATATTGGAACCGCCGAACTCTGAAAATGACCGACGCAGATATCGAATCATCCGACTGCAAGCCAAGAGATGCTACTAGCGCAACTTTATCTTGAGGGGATTATCAAAACGGTTCTGGCTTAGAATTGCCAGCCGGAGCTCACTCGCTTCCCGAAGTTCTTTGCCGCCCATCACGCCAACCCGGACCTGCTCTGACTTGGCCCCGGGCCGCTCCGCCTCAACTAACAGGGCCGGTCTCACCCTGTCTTCACCCCGCAACTACTTTCGGCTTTAGGCGTCCAGTACATGAACCATGCACAGTAATGGCTTTTCAGCATCTCCCGTAGTAATAGGATTTTGCTGCCCACGAGGCCTAAATGCCCCTTCTCTGTTGACCCTTGATTTTCCATCTGCCGTCGTAAGCGGCGGAGCTTCCCATCGGACCTTTTCCTGAGGCGGTGAACATAGACCCTTGTCGCGCGATCCACGCCCTCGCGGCGGAGATAAACAGCGAACAGACTTCAGATACTGACCAAACTGTGACTGAAGTGCAACGCAAGAATATCATCGAGGTATTCCTGAAAACGGAAAGTGTAACCCGAAGTTACATTCCTTCGTTTCATTATTTAGCTTGAGAACTGTAGCGGGGCTAAGCTAATTATTTCGGGTGAACTGAGCTTTCAGAAGTTCGGACCCGAATTCCGTCCGTGTAAGTGCCGCAGCTGCATTGCTGCAGACTGCTCGCAGTGCTCGGTTGCCAACATGGAAAGTTTGAGGTTCTTCATTCGGCCCGACTAATACAACATAAAGATCCAACTGATACTAAATACGTGCTCTCTTGAAGTTGCAGTCTGTCAGTCACCGACTTTACTGGCATCGTGCGCCTTTATCTAGTTCTACCACGGTCCTCGTTGAGAGAGAGAACACACACTGAAATTGCCGCAAGCATCATGATTTTCTCTTCTAGATACCAGATAGACATACCGGAAGTCGATGTTCTGTCATATGTTTTTGGTACAGTCCATTTGGCTGTGACATGTGTTTTGCTTTCGTGTTTACTGATACAGACTACAGAAACGTCAGCCTCGCAAGGGGATTTGCCCATTTTTGCCGATGCCGAGAAACCTACTCGAAGTCTCCGTAAGCCCGAGCTGGAGGCTTGTGTCAAGAAACTAGCTGGGGGCCTCCGACAGACACTGGGATTACAGAACGACGATGTTGTCCTGGCTTACACCGAGAATTCTGTGAGTAGTCCCACGGTCATGGATATGGATGGCAACCAACCCCTAATACCGTGCCTCATCACTCCAGGTATGGTACCCAGTTATAATCCTTGGGTCAATCTGTGCAGGTGGGATCTTCACTGGTGCCAATCCGGGGTACACAGAGTCTGGTGAGTTACGAATTAATGATTAAGATACCTCGGCACGAAGCAGCGAGCACATGGGTAACCCCGACTAGAACTGACCCACCAACTCACTGTTTCCGGCGCTAAGTGCATCTTCACGGATGCCGTGCGACTCACGACCGCACTGCAAGCTGCAAGGAGCGTCGGCATACCAAAAGAATCTGTCGTGCTCGTTGACAACGAGGGTCGGCCTAGACATGACAGTTGGCGTACCATGCAAACATTGATGGCTGAGCCATACTCGTGGGAGGCAATCCGCGATCCTTCAATTTTGGCGGAAAAGTGAGTTGCTGCAAGTGAACAAAACAATGAACGCGATGCTAACCAATTTGCAAGGGTCGCTGTTCTTAACTTCAGTAGTGGGACAACGGGAAAACCCAAGGCATGCATGATCACCCACTGCAATCTTGTTGCGAATGCTGAACAGACGCTTCACCTTGATCGAGTGAGCGAGTCGAGAGCAAACGGCCAAGGGTCTTTAACTCACGATGTTCACTGTGCGTTCCTGCCTCTCTATCACGCCAGTAAGTGGAAGTCTAGAATCTCAATCACACGCTACTGCATGAAGCACTGACCATGAGCTTAGGTGGACTCATGACTTATTGCGTGGTCAATGTACGCAGATCTTGCACGACATTCACCATGCGTAAGTTCAGCCTAGAGCTTCTGTTGAGCACAATTCAGCGATTCCGCGTCACACATCTCCTTCTGGCCCCGCCGGTGGTTGTCATGCTATTAAAAAGCAATCTCCTACTCCACTTCGACGTTTCCAGCGTGAGGTCTATGTTTTGTGGAGCGGCCCCCCTTCAGCCAGAGCTTTCCAAAAGATTGGAAGAGGTGTTCAGTGGGGGCAAAGCTCGCAGTCGACAGGGATGGGGAATGAGCGAAGCCACGATGGCAGTCACTCTGTTTGCCCCTGACGAGTTCGATCCGCTACATAAAGGGGTAGGGTATATCCTCCCCAACATGCAGATGAAGATCGTCGGCGACGATGGTCGCGAAGTCGGCTGCAACGAAGAGGGGGAAGCACTCATTCGGGGCCCAAATGTGTTCAAAGGTTACTACAAGAACCCGAGTGCATCTGAAGAAGCATGGACCAAAGATGGATGGCTGAAAACTGGAGACATCGTGTCAATCCAGGAGAGCGGACTCTTGACTATCTTGGACCGGAAAAAGGTGCGCGCCCAAAGCCTTTCAAGGCTTTGACAGAACATGTAAGAATATGCTGACCATCTTGTGCAGGAACTCATCAAAGTTAAAGGGTTTCAAGTGGCTCCGGCCGAACTTGAGGGGCATCTCCTTGAGCATGAAGGAGTCAGGGACTGCGCAGTAATTCGCGTCACAAGGTTGGTTTCCACTGTTTGCCTCTACCGCTCGCATTTGACTAACACGACCACGCGTTTAGAGAGGGGCAAGAACACCCACAGGCTCACATTGTCCCCAAAGACAACAACGTCACCGCCGAATCGATTATCAAATTCATGGAGAGCCGGCTTTCGGCGCACAAGAGGCTTACTGGTGGAATTGTGTTCACGGAGGTCATCCCCAAGTCTGCATCTGGCAAGATTTTGCGCCGCTTGCTTCAAGATCCTGCGACTGAGAAGTTAGCACGGCTCTAGCTAATATCCGCTACTCATATATGAGCCTGGACTTTTCGGTAGTTTCTCAGCGCCTGGTACCACCTGAGAGCTATGTAGCCAGGAAGAATTCTTGTCCATGTCCTCTAAGCCTAAGCCGATGACTATGCCCACAGGTACAACGAGTGGATAAGGTCCGGAGCTCAAGACAAGAGGTCCGACGATGTGGAGCATCGGCAACGGTAGTGCGGGATTGTCAAGTCGGCCGATGTTGAGCCCGGTGGTGTCTGGGTGAAACGGGTTCCATCCTCGGGTAGACCCCGCGTCTCCACAAATGATCGATGTTACATGGACTTTTGGGTTTAGAGTTCTTACGGCACTAAGGAACGAGCACAGGAACAAGCATCGGCCTGGATGTTGACCATCCACGCAGTTACACATTGTACGCAATGCTACCGTCACACATGGTCGGCAGGGCTGCAATGCCGCGGAAGGCGGTAGCTTCATCCTTATCTGTGATGTGCATATGCCACTAATCACGAACACACTGTAATCAACGGTATTTGGTAGTTTTGTGGAAGATCCAGAGCTCTAATGAAGCTTCTGCACCATAAATGTTCTCTTATTTTATAGGAAGGGCCGAACAAGGCCTCATCCGAGGGTGATAATTCTACGTCAAGGGCCTTTCTATCCCAGGTCACGACTTCATGACTCGAGAAACCCGAAGTGCTGATCCAGCTCTTGCGCCAAAGTGATGGAACTATTCAAAATCCACTGCATATCCATATTCAAGGGCTTTACATTATGCCCAACCATACAGCTCATCTGTGTCCGGTCTCCGCCCTTCTCCCACGTCCCGTCGACTACGGTATGCGTCGGCAGCCCGAATTCTTTCGGGTCAACCTTCTTGTTCTTCAAAATTCCACCGTTATACCAAATGAGATCGTCTCGAACGTCAACGTGTCCAATCACGAAGCTACAAATTCTCTCGACGGAGTCGTTGACCTTGTCCTTGAACCAATCAACCATGGAACCGTAGTGCTTTTCGAAGGCATAGCTTGCCCCGCTGAGCTCTAGTCCGAACCACCACGTCTCCTTGTCACCGTATGTGATTTTGTAGCTGACTTCTTCGCGCACGTCGTAGGTATTTTGCCATGCTACATGGAGGAGACCCATCAACACATCTAGGCGAGACTTGTTCACTACAACCACACCCGAATCGCCCTCTTCGGCGTAGTCCTCAGTCCATACGAGCGACTTATTGAGCGCGGCACTGGGCTCGTGAATCTGCGACCTCCACCACTCATGTCGTTCGGCGAAGGCATGTTGCCAGAGTAAACGATCGTGAAAGAGGAGAGCACCGGTCTGCTCGTACAAGGGATCTAAGAAGAGCGACTCCGGAACTTGAACGAATACTGAGTCGGCATCTGAGAGTAGGACCTCTTCGAACGGCGCATACAAAGCCGCAAAAGCCTTTATAGCCCACCCGCCCTTTACAAGCTTCAGGGTCTTGTCGTCGACAACGCTCAAAATATCTAAGAATTGGAGCCCTTTGAAGCGAGCCAGCAGCTTCTCGCGGTTCTCAGGCGGTAAGTCCTCGTCTCCGGCATATACAATTTGAATCGTCATGTTGCAGTACAAGATGTCTTGAAGGGCGCCAATAAGGTGCGTGGCGTATCGCATGGTTCCCTTGCCTGTCGGAATGACGAATCCACGTGACCCAGGGACGATGGACGAACGCAGGTCTGAGAAGGGCGTCTTGCTATCTGGATTCTTGGGAGAGTGCTGGATAAAAGGGAAGAACGATGCGATCACACTCTCTACAGTCTCGAGAAGAGGCCGAGCGTTCTCCGATTTCGGTGCGTTGTCAAGGAATTTGACCCATTCCCGTGCTTTCTTGGTCCGTTGACCGAGCTCGTAGAATTTGGACTTGTACGGGGGTTGTATAGGATCCGCAATTAAGGCTTTAGCCTCACTGATGATAGCATCAGCCTCTTTTTGCCATGGCGTCGGGCTATCGTCGACTTTGGGCTTTTCGGTATGTTGTGGTGTAGGTACGACGTGCGTAGGATGCGTCGGCGATTGCGCCGATGGCGGCTTTGTTGGCAACGTCGGATGATAAGAAGGAGCAAAAATGTATGTGGAGTACAAGAACATAAGCAAAAGACATGCGAAAAGAAGAGCAGTTGCCATCCGCGAGGATGGCATTCCTATGACGACCATGGCGGCCGAAAAGTCGCGAGGTGCCACGGATGTGTGAAGTTGAACTAGGACGTCTGGCGACGAAGAGGTCGCGTGAGAACGAATAAAGCAGGTCCAGAAATTGGGGGGAAGCTGAGGGTGCCGGTCCTACTTACTCTCCTAAATTTGCGCCAAAACCCCGGCTCTCCGAGGAAGCAGGTTACGTGCGCCGCTGCTGTTGCTTGCAAGGCTGGCTTAAAAGGGGCAGGGGTTTGCAGAAGAAAGCCCAAGTCAGGCGGCCAACCAAAGCGCTTAAAAGTACACTATCTCTGTTAGTGTTGGTCCAACAAGATGGATCGACGGATGTCAGCAGTGGATGTTCGGAATCTCGAAGGCTTCAACTCAAGCACTGCAAACACAACTGGGATGGGCTTCTTTCAAAAATTGTTGAAACTGATCCGCGATTATCCTCACATTGATATTTTAGTCTGGACATTGTGTTTGTCGTGGTCTGGATATCTACCGCCGGACGCCGGCGGCTATTCATCGTCACGTACATGCAAGGTACTCACCAACAAAGCGTTCCAACAGTTCCAACACGATAGACATGGATGCGATAGGGCAGAACAGCGGTTACATGATCCTTTTTTCCTTGGCTTTATTCCAACCAGGCTCGCGGTGGGGACTGGAAATTCTTCCTTGCCACTCCTGCAGAATGCTGCCATGGCTGCTTCCAAATCGAAGAGCTGCGAAATTGCGGTTGGCTGATTCAAGCCTACAGCCTGATGCTGCACTCTGCCACTTATCGCTTCGTCCTTCCACTCCCTCGAGTCTGTCCAAAGTCTTTGTCTTTTCTTTTTTTTTCAAGTTTTCCATGCCATCTTTGTGAGTGCTACTCGTCCATGTCCGTTAGCCTTCGTCTTTTCAATTACGATGTCGAGACCGGCTGGGATACTCTCGGGCTTTTTTTTGCCTGTTATTTCTCTTCGCCTCTCTAGGGCAGAGTATCGACTGTTACAATTACAAAGGAATTGTGTGGAGCAATCAGACACAATGCGAGGGATCCGATGCTTGTTGCTCAGCAGGTGACAAGTGCCTACCGAATCGACTCTGTCAAAGTGCCAAAAGCGCCAGAAACATCTTGATCCGTGGAACTTGCTTGGATCATCCATGGTCTACAAATTGCGCACAGATTTGTGCCTTTGGTGAGTTGGTTGTTGTCGCATGAGCCCAGCCACACCAATTACATCTCACTAACAACCATACCTTCTCATCAGAGGAGTCAAATGTAAATACAGGCTTGACAGATGGCGTTTTTCCACGGGTAGAAATTTGTGACGAGAGCACGGGAAAATACTGCTGTCGAGATGGGGAGAGTAGTTGCTGCGATAGCCCTTTGCGGGTGTATTATCTCGACACCAACGGGACTATACTCGAATCCGCCCCAACTTCGACTACTTCAGCCAGCACAACTGCTGCCACAACAACATCTTCATCCAGCTCAGAGACGACCTCCAGTAGCCCAGCTACCACGACCTCCGGTACTTTAGCTTCGAGTACCAGCACTGCTGAACCAGCTCCCAGTATCGGCGAGTCCCTTACACTCAAAGTCAGACTTGGAGTTGGCATCCCGCTCGCTGCAGTTATTGCAGCCCTGGGAACCTGGAGTCTTCTCCGCCGAAAGAAGAATAACGAGAAGAGTGATGTCCAAGAACCGGTCAACAACATCCCGACTTCTTATTACGAGCCTCAAGATGGTTACAACACCACCAAAGCCCCAGCGTATCCATACCGACGAGAACCGAGTTATCGAAATCCAAGCCCGGATACAAGATATGAGATGCACGAGATGGGGCCGGGCTGGGATGATAGCCCACGGGAACTAATGGGATCGGAGGTGCGGGAGACACGGCAGCAACGATGAGACGGTCGATACCTCCCTAATCGCGAAAAGTGCATCTGCAGTCAGGTTGTACGAGGTGGCGTTCAGTTCAATTTGTGGGGGAGTTGGGCAGATTGAGAGGCGCAGTGTCGGGTAGCGCGTTGGCATGTCGAAAGGGGTGAATTTGTCTCGGAGGCGACGCGAGGATTTGTTAACGTACCTATTTCATGCTTAATGTCGGTGGGATAATATGGTGCTTGGAGAACCACAAAGATACCTAATGACTCGCTATTCCCTATCTCAGTAGATATACGTACCTTACGAGTAGATACCCCGTGTTGATGAATCTGGTTCTCTCTAGAAACTTGCCCGGCCTCTTCCTAGATTTCCAATTCAGCCACCCTCCTTCCTTCCTCGACAAGTTCCCTAGGCTGAGCGGCATGCTGGTACGAGTACTTTCCTGCAGGATAGACCGCTCCCATCCTCCTCACGAGTACCTGCAGTGGCCGGAGAAGTCGCCAGTGAATCCGACACTTAATCGAAGGCAACCAACAGGTTTAAAGCCAATCGCCGAGTATCCTTGTTAGTCCCACTCTTTTCGCCCGCCCCCTTCCTCGTTGCACTCTGGAGTACGGTCCCCGTACCCGGCAAATCCTTCGAGTTTCGGTTGCCTGGAGTACCTGCAGCATATGCTTACCTACGTTGACTAAAGACGCTAAGCAATTGCTTTCCACCTGTAAGGTACAAGTGTGTATCGTATCAGAAACTTGACTCTCTTTCTTATCAAGTACACGAGTACTTGGAAAGTGGAATTTGTACATTTTTCAACAACCCCGTACGAAATTGAGATCTGGGGGCTGATGAAATTCTTCCCAATGTGTCTGAGGGGCCGTGTTACCCTGGCCCTTTTGTATCTGCTTGCAACCGATGCACCGATGCACCAACAGGCCTTCAAGCTAGGAAGGCCGAACCAACAGCATTGTAGCCCACGCCGGCTCGTTGCCCAATAACGGTTCCGATGCAGGTACGGAGAGCATTGGGCTGAAACCGCCCAGACGGAGCCTGACGCTGTTAAAGCTGCGGTCAACTGAAGCTTCTCGTTGTACCATGTCCCTAGGTGCCTACCCGCACTTGAACCCTTCATCTCTGTGCCAGCGGCGCTTTGTTAAAAACAGCGAATGGTAGAAAGAGAAAGCTCAGCGAAAAAGTTGTTTCCCTAAAAGTTTTCTGTTAGACTCCGAAGTAGTCTCGTACCTAGAGGTAAGCGGGGGCACATCGATGTTCACTCGTATGGCTGATGTAGTTAGTAGGCTGCGAAATGATTATTGTTAGATTGGTTAACGATTGTGAGGTTCCTATTTCTAGGAACGTCATGTGAGCATTGTACCTTCGACAGCCAAGTTTCCGACGCACTAATAGTAGCTAGAGCTCAATCACCACCTTATCGACATACCATCCCAAGAAGTCAGATTATCGAGAATTGGCTATGTTTTCTCTGCTTCTTTCTCGCTGAACTACTATAATATGGACCAACTCGCGATCCAAAGTGAAGTCTTGCCGTCTCACTTCGGATTTTCAGCTTGTACGTCATCAGCAACTTCACACCACCTGCAATAAGCATTGACCTTATGACACGAGAGTGTAGTAACCATGTGCCGGGCGATTGTTTACATCATTTCCATGCTTCGTTCATCAGTTGCATTGAAACACTTCCGCACTTACTGCCTAGTATGCTGTGTCTTACGCTCTATGGCACCGAGGCAACGTCACCAGCTCCAAGCCGGAGGAAGCGTAATTCCAACCCTTTGACTACAGAAAGCGTTAGATTATTTCCGGTTGCGCGTAATGTTTCTCACAGCTGATATCACGTTTGCAGACAGGATCGACTGCATCCGAATAATTTTCGTTCATTTCTCTCGTTGACCTTAGGTAAGGTAGGCCAAAAAGGTCTGGTATTAGTGTGGATTACAGTGATATCTTGTACTGGTATTTGCACAGCATGCGAGAGCTTAAAGCCGGAATGACTCCTGACCATGGTTCTAGATACAATGTTGTGGTGCTCGCGTCATTCGCTGCATCGGCCGTCCATTCCTGGACATTCTGCCGAACCTCGAAAAGGGATGGAATCTTGAGAGCCTATGCAGATTGCACTAGTCTTCAACTAACTTACACTCAAGACAACATTCAGGGTTGTGTTACTGGCTTTTAGGATAAGATCATCGCGAAGAGTGCATCGCCATCAAAGAATTCGTTATCCACCAGCGAGCAGTTCAGTCGAGGTAACTGGTGGCAAAAGTTTCATTGTACTTAACTATTGAGAACAAGCCGCCTGGTTCGCGTAGTGAATTCTTACATGTTGGGGTTTCCAAGAAAACGACGTGTGACGTGGCCAATTCATCTCGCGACAGCCTCCCATTGAGGTGAGAACCATTCGTCTAAACTTCTCAAGATCACAAACTCCTAGCCTCAAGGCTGGCCAGACTCCAATTGGAACGTATGAAATTTCAGGCTTTCTTGCTTCTTGCAGCTGGCGAAGGATGTTTTGCCGGTCTCCACGAACCGGTGGGACGTAGTTGGTCACTGGCTCAAACACATTCGAGTCAAGGCGAAGATGACTGGAGGGTAGGTACCATCTGTAAAGCATAGCAAGGAAGACATCAGGTAGACTAAGTCTACTAGTACGTCTGTGACACAATCAATCCCTCTCGTTAAGAACACGATAACGGTAGTTGAAAACAACCGTGCAATCGCATGAAAGTTTCGGACATCCGGCTGACAGCACTGCGCGCGTAGAGGCCTTCGCGTATGTCTATCACCGATTCAACGATGAACGGAACCGAGGCATTTCTTCGCATAACGTACATCAGATGAAGTGCAGCACCATTTTCAACGGTTCTGGAACCTATGCGGAGCGTTCGGCAAGGATTTGGGCCAAGTTGCCGGCGGTCACCGTCATACACGACGGACAAAACATGCGGGGTGATTAGACCGTGCAATCTTCATCCACAACACCAAAGATCTCTCTACTCGTTAAGAAGCGTGTGTTGATGAATGGGTTTCGCTTTGGACACAAGTGTAAGAAGGTTCAGTGCTGACAAAGTCACCTCACGCAATGCCAAATTCCTGACGTTCAGCTAAAGGCATCCAACCATTCGTCAATACTAATTCTCCTTCGCGGACGGAGATTTTTTGATTCCGCAGGGAAACTGATATTTGCCATGTTGAAAGTCAACGTATCTTACAGCTCTGGATGTTTAGTTTGAACTGTTCGGGAAGAACACTATAAGATTTCTCCGAGGCCTAAGGTCCAAAATGAAAATTCTGATCAGTCGATCTACCGGGTTTTCAGGACAGACCTACATTCCGGCGGGCGAATCGTGAGGCTTATGTCGAATGTTCAGATGATCGGTGTGCAGGCCACCTATCATCGCCTGTTTTGGACAAAATACCGAAAACTGCCTCTACTAGCAGCAGAAATATGATGTCACGGAGACGGACTCAGGAAAAATTCGACGGGAAACAAAGTTTTGTCAGTCAAACGGCCATCATCTGAAGGCAATCCTCTCCGTCACCCACTTCCCAGCCGAGGGACCCCCATGATGGCACACGATAGGTGTTCTGCAACCCGATTGGAGAACTTTGACTAAGTGATCGAGTTCTTTGTGGGTGCTGCGGAGATAGTGCCCAAACAAGACCCCTCGGCACCTTCAGACGTTCAGCCGGTCTAGATAGGCCGGCATGTCATCATAGCAAGCGACGTCAGTATCCCGCCGGTCCGGAACCGCTCGGGCAAGGCTAGTTTTGAAAGCTCCGATTCATCAATAACTTTACCAAAAGAGATCAAGTCCTGTGAGAAAAGATCGAGACATAAGCTTGATCGGCACTGTCACTTCAACTGGGGTCATCCATTGCCCGCTTTCCACGACTGCGGACACCCGAAAACATCGCTCCGAAAAAGAGATATATAGGTTCAAGCCTGCCCGCTCCATAACTAAATGTGTTCCAATTCATAACACACACAAACACTCATAACAACCATGAAGACTACCTCAGCCGCTGCACTTGCCCTTATTCTGGGATGGACCCAAGTTCTCGCCAGACCAGTGAATGACCCAAACATCGATATCCGCGATGCGACCACCAACACTTCACCCGTTGCGGTTGAATCGCGACCATTGGAGCCTGACCGCCAAGCACTGAACCCATTCTTAGGCGACGACATGAACTCCATCAAGAACGACAACCCCGACCCGAAGACCAAGATTTATCCCAAAAGGTCGGAGAAGGACGCACCCTACTCCAGATCCGAGAGAGACCTGAAGGCCAGCATTTACATCCCGAAGACCTTTTCCGCATCATCAAACAAACAGCCAGTTATTCTAGTCCCGGGCACCGCTGCGATGGCTGGTACGACGTATCGTGCGAATCTCGGCCCTCTTCTAGCCAAGTCCGACTTTGCCGACCCGCTCTGGGTTAACATTCCAGATGCCTCGCTGGACGATGCTCAGGAGAATTCGGAATATGTTGCCTACGCCATCAACTACGTGCAAGACATGACTGGCAAGAAGCCAGCTGTCGTCGCTTGGAGTCAAGGAAACCTCAACGTACAATGGGCATTGAAGTATTGGCCCAGCACCAGGGAAGCCGTGACCGATCTTGTTTCAATGAGCCCCGACTTTCACGGAACCAAGGAGGCATTCGCGGCTTGCAAGACTCCGGCAGCTATCATTGGCTGCACTCCCAGCGTCTACCAACAGATGTATGATTCTAAGTTCGTCCAGACACTCCGTGCAAACGGTGGTGACAGTGCCTATGGTAAGTTTACAAGCTCTCAATGCGTTTGATTCAACTACATGTATCTGACTGGATGTACCTAGTTCCCACAACTTCTCTCTTCAGTGCAACAGATGAGGTTGTTCAACCGCAGTCGGGTCCGATCGCTTCAGCCATTCTAAAGGACGGCAATGGCGTCGAAGTCAGCAACATCGAGGTCCAGAAAGCTTGTCCCGCCACACCCGCCGGCGGCGAAGTCACTCATGAAGGCATGCTTTACAACTCACTGGCATTCGCTCTTCTGAGAGACGCCCTTACCAATGACGGGCCTGGCAAGCTCGAACGCATCGATAAGAAGATCTGCGCCGACCCTGCTGCTGGCAAGCTTGACGCCCTCGAGATCAAGGCGACGGAGGCCGTCTTGGTTGACGCCGGGGCGAACGTGCTTGCTTACCCCAACAAGGTCAAGCGTGAGCCCGCTATCAAGGACTACGCCAAGGTCTAAGCATTTTCAATAACACCATTGTCAGCGGCCTGGTGTGTAGTATCCTTGTAAATTATTTGTACATTTGTCAACAGAACTAGTAACGATACATGAGCAAGCGAGCGAACGAGCGAAATGGCGTGTATGCATTTTCATGGATTCAGCGTTGGATTGTGCATTAGAAAATAAAAACTTGTGTTTGGTGCTTTAAAATCAGTTGAGGAGGGGTTTGAACTGGTCTATAGGATGCGTCTTGCAATGTGACAGCTTCACTCACCCTCTCTTCTCCAACACTGCTAGCTCTTAGGACGAGACTGACGTCTCAAATCATACAGTTGAGAGCGGGTCAATACGTTCACTTAAGCCAGTGCCAGACTGGTTGCAGAAATTCCTTTATATTGACGGGACGAGAGAATGTGATGGAGTGTAGGAAGTGTCTGAGAAAACAATCTTCCGGGGTAATGTCAGCCACTCGGCCCATTCATCTCCCAGATACTGGCAGATTACCTGTAAAAGGTATGCCCCTGAATCGCCAATCTGCCAAAGGTCCCGCGCCAGATGTAAAATAGCAGCATAGTAAGCCAGTACAGCTATCGCTTCAGGCTTTCTTTCGGCTAGCTTTCGAGTGTAGTCCTCTGAGACCATCAGCGACCAGGAAAAAACCATTTGAATGAGGTACTTTCGACCCAGAAATACCCTGGTGTCTAGATCATCTAGTGCGACTTGTATAAGGTCGACAGCGTGCATGTAGGTTTCCTTGTCAGCGGCCGAAATGTTCGGCGATGCAGATATCAAATCTAAGATGCTATCACAATCGGGACCGACACCTTTCAGCCGACTCAACCCCAGACCCCACGACATCAGAGGGACAAGCTCCGAGGTCTTGAGCAATGCCCAGGCGCGACTGACAATCACCCTCACGCCTCTACGGATCCTGGCAAAGTTGACGTAGCAGTCAATGAACGGATCCAAAATGGTGCTACGGAACGCAAGTGCGTCGACACAGAGATGACGGCCGAGGATGGCCGAGAACAGGACCAGAGGGACGCAGCTGGGCTCGTCTATTCGCGCCTTTTGGGCGTTGAATAATGAAATTGCTCTTGTCTGTAGCTGGACTGCGTCGTGTAAAAATTCATTTGCGTTTTCTGGCTCGAGGATCGACATATGCCGAGCAGACAGGGCGAGGATCTCGTGCATGAGGTACGGGGCGTCGGACCCTGTCTTGAGGATGAGCTGGGTGTTTCGTTCGATGAGACTGTGGTCGAGCTCCGGCACGGCGAGTACAAGAGAGAAGTGCACTAAGAATCTCATGTGTGCCATATTGATCATGTTGTCCGATAGACTGGGAGCGGGCTGGCCCATGTCGTTGCCGGCATACACTATCAGGTGGCCCAAGTCTGGAGTCGGGATGACAGCGGGGCTCCTCCCGGTCGGAGATCCATACGGCGAATCCGGCTTCGAGGTCCCGGCGTCTGATAGTACGCAATCGGGCATGGATTCATCGCCACGCGTAGAACTTGCTACAGACCCGGGATCTGCAGCATTTGGGAATACGCATGTACGGTCCACCATCGCGCAGTTGACGCATCTTGGGCGAGTCTCATCGCACTGCTCATCCGATTAGTCGATGTCTTCAGCCTTACAACACCAGTATGCGGGTACGCGGAACGAATGCCGTATACGTGGAAACGGATACGTCCAGCTTACCTTCATGTGGCGTCGCTTGCACTCGGCACACCCCTTCCGAGACTTCCTATGGGAGCGTCTGTACATGGTTGGCCGTTGGCTACACCGATATAAGCTTGTCGGCTCGAGTACGTGTAAGTTTGATACACACCCCTTGGAACCCGTAGCTGCCGAATGCTGCAAAAGTCGAAGCGCGCCAGGTCGATTCTGTTGTCAACGGTGGGAAAACATAAAGGTGACCGACCATTGAGGTTTTTCCACTTGACTGAGGGAGGACTTAACTTTGCCGAAAAACAAACTTTTAAGAATCCACACGGCTAGCTAGGCATACTCGCACATTTTCTCTAAGCCATGATGCTTTACGTACGTGGACCTCAGCCGCGATATGTTTCCCTAGCTGCGCCGGGTTTCATGGGTGATCCGTGGACATATTATTAGTTTGTCCGACTTTAGGCTTAGTTTCGCCCCCCTTAAAGGCTTTGCGATACGTGTATTCGGAGACCGCCGGACCAATCGTTGGCAATTTTTAGCGTATGACCCACCCGCGGAATACGTGTATTCGCATCTATCTCGGACCTCTTGCCATCATAGACTCCCAAGGCTGATTTTCAGATTTGATTCTAGAAGAGACCAAGGACAGTAGAAGGACAGCAGGTAACCGTAGTATGGTACGTGCATACTCTTTACCTGTACTCTTTACAGTCTACATAATGCCGGTAAAGATCTTTGCCGCGTCCCATACCCCATCAGCCCTAACATAGCTGAAGGAAGTCTTAGGCCGGCCGAATTGAGTGATGAACACAATCGCCGGGGCTTTTGGTTCACTGCCACATCATCTCTTTTACCTTGAACAAGAGGTGGGCAGAGGATTCCTGGCTTTCTCCCTTCCATCAGCAATGCCACGATTATTAATCAGACAAAGCTTGACTTCAAGCACGCCCACATTCGCTTGACGGTAGCGGTCAAGATCAAATGGTGGACATTCATACTACTTGTCTAAAAGGAAGATCGTGTTTAAAGCGCGGGATTGCGAGGCCTGAGTCCTGGGGCTTTGGTTTTCTCTCAAAATCTGCATGTTACGATCTAAGCTTGTCATTTGACCTCAAGAAACCAATTACTTCCTTAACCTCGGATCACTGATACGATGTAACGAATAGGATGGGGCAGGAAAATTCTGCCTCGATTCTCAATGGAATCTCTTGGTGTGGCCACTTTTACCCTGACAAAACTCGTGACAAGACGAATCATCAAATATCAGGACAATCATCTACCTTACCCCCCTTTCGGAACATAATTTCGCACCTGAAATGATAGTTGTTTTTTCCTTAGCCCCTCATTAACTCATAGACTTCGCAATTGAGACTCAGCCTCATAAGCATCTCGAGAGCATTTCCTGCAAATTTAAGCGCGTGAAGTCATTAAGGCTTGACAAAGGACCCTCACTTCCCAACAGGGAGCCTGGCAACTTACGAACATGCTACTTGTACCTGTGACACTAGAACCATAGGCTCTCGGATAATGGAACTCGATAAGAAGTCGACCAGTAGGCCCCTTCTTTGAAAAGCTGCTCCCTGCATGTCAGCAAGCCGTTCTGGCGCAATTTCAAATGCGAGCCAATCGCTGTTGGTTCCAGAAGCGAAAGGACTGCCCAGCCAGCACTTCCAGGCATTTCGCAAGGCGGATCTTTCGTCAGTTCATCATTATCCAATAAGAGGTTCACATTTCAAGACAGTCAATGATGATAGTCAGGCTCGACAATAAGGGGTGAGCAAAAACTCCTGCACCCTGAAACTCTTCTGGAAGCCCGCTCCCTTCTTCTCTGCTACTTGCGCAAACATGGGGAAATTGCCAACCTTTCTGAAGAGGAATATAGATCTTAAAATATGAATCAAATCAAAGATTGTGGAGAGCGTGGATAGAATGTGAGTTATAATTCTCAAGAGACTAATAAGAGGTAACTGACATGAGGTACAGATACCTATTGGGAGTATCGTTACGAAACCTTGAGGATGAAGATGGCACATGAACTAAGGTACTTTAGCTAGAAATCGGCAACTTAACTGTGTTCTCGTGCAACCATTTAAGGTTCCATCTAATAAAGACCTGTGCTCTGCCCCTGTGGCCCAATGCCCGTTCTTCCCCACAGATTCCAGAAGGAAAGCCTTTGGCCGAACATTCACCAAGCCGATCAAAAGGGGAGAATGGAAGTCACAATTTCTAAGGTGAAACGATAACAATGATTTAACACTAGTAATAGGTAAGGAAAATAACGAATTTAGATGACATCAAAACTCCACAATGCCTGCGGCCCAGTGATTTCCAATCTCCATCGAATCCATAATCTTTAAGTCCCATTGGACTGTTTCTCCCAATGTTGTCCCTAGCCAGTTTCCATAGCGTTCCCACACGAAATACAAATAAGACTTGTTACAACTCACTCATAACAACTAGTAATAGTAAGGAGATTGCAGAATTGTGGTTCTGATCACCCTTGTGTCCCGTGTTGACCACCATGTTCTCTGTGTATATCCTCCCATCAGGTCATATTCCTCGACTCATACAAGTACAAACCGTATCCTCATAAAGGCGCCCCCATTATATCTTGAACGATATCTCCATGGTAAACACAAACAATCTAATAAACACTTCTCACTCGTCTTCATGTCTTCGTAGTATGATGATGCCCATAACTCTTTCTCTCTCTGTATCTCTCCGAATATCATGCGCTGCTCGGTCTCTAATTGCTCCAGTCGAATCCGACGCAGAGCTTGCTCTTCTTGCACACAGCCTTAGTGAGGGTCTGTATGCTACCGCTGCTCAACAACTCAAGGACCTGCATGTTGGCCTCGAATTCGCGAGTGATGAAGTTACGGATCTCGATAGCGACAAGCGAGTCGAGCGGGTAGTGCGACAAGCTGCGGGTGACATCAAGCTCCTCAATCTCCATCATGAGGACGGCGGCGATCTTCTCAACCAGGCCGCGGCATACAACCTCCATGGCCTCTGTCTCGCTGCGCGACGCCTTGAGGGCGGCGTTGAGTGAAACGGCGCCATTGGCACCGGCCTCGGCGGCAGCAAGCTCCTCGGCAGCCAGGCGCAGAGCCTTGAACTTGGCATCGGGAGTCCAGAAGGGCTGGATGCTGGGCGTGATGCGCATACCAGTGATGACGTGCTGGTTGCAGACGGAAGTCTTGTTCGAGATAGATGCGCCGATGAGAGCGAGCACCTCAGCTTCACAAATGCTGTCAGATCCCAAGTTCTTGGCGACCTCAGCAGCACGCTCAGCACTACCATCTGCCAGGTAACCGGCATCAGAGACAGCGGTCAAGTCGAGCGAGGTAGCGGGCAGACCAAGGGCAAGGCGGTGTTGGACGAAGGCGTTGAGGAAGCAGTTGGCGGCAGCGTAGGCGGCTTGACCACGGTTGCCGACCGCACCGGCAGCGGAAGAAATGGCAATGAAGAAGTCAAGCTCAGTCTGGCGCTCCTTGAGGGCGTTGTGGAAGTTCCATGCACCCTGGACCTTGGACTCGGTAACCGAGGTATAGTCGTTGTAGGTCATTTGCTCGAACAAGACGTCCTAGTAGGTGTTAGTATAGACAACATGAGGTAGACACGGTGGATAACATACACGAAGGACCATGGCACCGTGGATGACACCACGGACGGGGGAAAGACCCTTGAGTCCAGTGTTGAACAATTGCTCAACGCTAGACTTGTCGGCGACGTTGCAAGGGCGAACGGTGATGTGAGCACCATCGTTGGCGGCCTCGTCAATGAGCTCCTTGACCTTGCCGGTCGCAGAGCCACTGCGGGACAGGAGAACAAGGTTCCTGGCGCCGTGAGCGATCATCCACCTGGACATGCTGCGGCCGAGACCACCGGTACCACCGATGAGGAGGTAGGTGGCATCAGGCTTCAGAAGTGCCTTGGCAGCCTTGGAGGGAGTAGCCATGACGACGTCCTCAGCATGAGGAACAACGACCAACTTGCCAGGACCCTGGGTGGATTGAAGCGTCTTGAAGGCTGTCTCCATGCAAGAAACGGGGAAGACAGTGGCAGGGTCGATGGGTCGAAGTTGGTCGTCGGCGAGAAGCTTGGAAACATCAGCGACGAGTCTCTCCATGATCTTAGGCCTCTCGGCGGCAAGACCGAAGATGTCAACGCTCAGGAAAGAAGCGTTGCTGTCAGACTGGCCCATGTCGAGGCGGGTAGCGCGAGAGCCATCCTTCCTGCGAACATCAACGAGGCAACCGAAGCGGCTGAGGCAAGCCCAGCTTTCTCTCAGGGCATCAGCGCCGGGGAGAGTGTTAAGAACGACGTCAACACCCTCATCGTTGGTTGCACGTCTGACGGCAGCTCTCCAGGTGGTGTTGCGGCTGTAGAAGATGTGGTCCTCAGGAACGTTGTAGTGCTGCATAAGAAGCTTCTTCTTGGCGGCGGTGCTCACGGTGACGAAAATCTCAGCACCGATCATCTTGGCGAGGCAGACGGAAGCCTGTCCAATACCACCACCGGCAGAGTGAACCAGGATGCGCTGGCCCTCACGGAGGCGAGCCTGCTCCACCAAGCTGTAATAGGCAGTGCAGTAGGCCAAGGGAAGGGTCGAAGCATCCTCGAAAGACATCTTGGAGGGCATAGCCATGACGTTGGCAGCGGTGGTGCGAGTGCGGGTAGCATAGGCACCGTGGCTGATGGTGAGGGCGGCAATGCGGTCACCGGCCTTGTGGGCCTTGACAGCGGAGCCAACTCTGGTAATGATACCTGAAGCCTCGACACCCAGAGCATGCTTGTCAGCCTCGGGGATCTGGCCCTTGGCAATCATGACATCGCGGAGGTTCATGCCAACAGCCTTTACGTCAAACTCAACCTCATTGTCACCAAGAGGCTGAGTGGCAGCAACGTCGTCGACGAAGTGCACCGTCTCGATGGCACCGGGGGTGGAGAACTCCATCTTGAGGCATCGGTTATCTTTGCCGAAGGGCTGCATCTCAACAACGCTGGGGTTGGTCTCGCGGTGGACAAACTCGTTCATCTCCTCATCGTGAACAATGCGAGGGGTGGAGAGCTTGCCAGATCGCTCCATGAACTCAAGTTCGCTAGTGGACGAGGCACTGGCACCGAAGGCGAGCTTGAAGATCTCGAAGATGACAGCAGCAGAATCATCCTCGTCGAGCTGGTTGTTATCATCCAAATCAAGAGTTGCAAAAGGCAGAACTGTCTCAGAGCGAACGGTTCTGCTAAGGCCGATGATCATGTTGGACTCGGGAGAAGTGGCCTTGTCGTAGGCACCACGGACAACCCACAAGCAGCCTTGGACACCCGCAAGCATACCACGGACCTCAGCGAACTGCTCCTTGGTAGGGTTGGCAAGGAAAGGTTGCTCAATCTCAGTGAGGACGACAGTAAGCTTGCCCTCAGTGTT